TTCTCTAGCTTAGCTGATTTGCATGTATGTTTTAGTTTGGGCCCAACTCCTAATTCCGGCCCGCTTGTCTGCCCAGGCCCAATCCCAGGATTGGCCAGCGCGCCGCCCAGCTGACCCAATACCTTTCACAATCTCCGATTGGACCTTCGCGCGGCTCAAAGCTGCTTTATCGGTTCAGCTGCCTTGAGGCCTGACCGTCTCTTCGGTTCCTTCGCCCGGGCCTATTTATAAGCCCCTTAACCCTCATTTTGTTCCATCACCAAATAGTTTCCCTTTCTTCATTATTGCTATGTCTGAAGGAATTCATGTCTCCTTGAACCTTTCCGATGGGCCGGCTCCTTCTTCGCCGGAGCCTGCCTCCTCCCCCAGGTCAGTCAATTCTAATGACTGGGGGGGGCTAGACCCTTACGAATTCTGCCGCCGATTGCCTCGCCGGCAGTGGCCATCGGTGAAACCGCCGCCACTACCACCAAACCCTTATGATGACTTCAGTGAAGCATACAAGGCCCTCTCCGCCAATCGCTTGCCTGACGGAAGGATTGACTGGGACGCTCCATGCTCCCTCCATTCCCTGCAATGCATGGCCTGGGAGAGCTTTCAGGATGAGCACTTACCCCTCCTGGAGCACGAGTGCGCATACTACACGAGTCTTGAGCGATGGACTGGCGAAAGTCGCACCAGTTCGCCGGTGAGGCCTAAGGAGGAGGTTGTGTTGGGGGAAGAACTGGGTTCCAGTCCACCTCGCCCCTCCGACCGTGCAACTTCCCGGAGAACCCGTAGGTGACCTGGAGTAGCTCGATCGGCTTCAGGATCTCCATCCTCATCTAGGTGATGCTGGTTGGGGTTCTGGGGGCGACCGACCCTGTTCCGCGTCGGGGAAGAAAAGTGGTCGTCCCGGACGGCCGGTGATCGGAGTTCCGCCGGCCCATGGAGCTGCAGAACTACCCTTCAAACCTGCCTGTCCCCCCTAGGCCTTTTGCTCGCAAAACTTTAGATTGTTCCCTTTGCTATAGGAAAAGTATGGAAAAGTATCCCTTCTTTATGTAGAGATTGTTCTCAAATGTATTGTAGCAGATGCAAAAGATTATCCTTGGAATGTAACAAACACTTTTGTGAATGTATTTTGATGTTACCTGTTTACTTACAAGTTCCATCTTCTTCTCTTTCGCATCCCACTTTAGACGTTCAGGTTTCCTCTGACTTAAGTCAAAGAACACCTCGCCTTTTTTGACTTAGCCATTTCTGGGTTGTTTTAACCTCCTTCAGCGTCGTCATATCTCCCAGACCCCTTGGTCGCTCATGCGACCAGCAGGCCTTTACATTCCTGACTTAGCCGTTTTCTTGGGCTCCCCTGCCTCGGCGTCGCCTCCAACCTTGGTCGCTTGACAGGGTTCGACGCTTCACCCACTACTCGGTATCTTAGCACGAATCACCATGCAGTTTAGGCTTAGCGATCTCTTTCGGTCGCTCTTTTTTTTTTGAGAATGGAAGACAAGACATGCCAGAATGCTGGTTTTATTAAACTACAAGATAGAAACATGGCTGGGATACAATCTACTGATAGAATTTAACAAGGTTGGCGGCATTCCACACTCGAGGAACGTCGCCTCCGGCTGGAGTTTGTAATCTAAACGTCCCATCAGCCAAAACCTCCTTTATGATGTATGGCCCTTCGAAACTTTTAGCAAACTTCCCTCCATCGGTCGGTCGGTTGACTTCCCTTTTCCGAAGGACCCAGTCGCCCACCTGGAACTTCCTTGGTCGTACCCGCTGGTCGTGATATGACTTGACCTGTCGGCGGTAATTTTCTGCTCGCATGTATGCCCTTTCCCTTCGCTCATCAACGAGGTGCAGTTCTGCCTTCAAGTTCTCCTCATTCTCTTGTGCATCAAACGTTTCCACTCTATAGCTCAACAATGAGGTCTCTGCTGGAGTCCTTGCTTCAAATCCATATGTGAGCGAGAAAGGAGTTTCACCTGTGGCCTTCCTTGGGGTAGTCCTGTAGGTCCACAAGATGTAGGGCAATTCCTCCACCCAGGCACTTTTGCATTCCATTATTTTCTTCTTGAGACCGTCCATGATGGTGCGATTGGTGTTCTCGACCTGTCCATTGGTTTGAGGGTACCCGACCGCTGCATAGCTGTGACTTATGCCCCAACTCTGTAGAAACTCATTGAACCCTCCGGCCTCGAATTGGGTTCCGTTGTCAGTGATGATCTGCTGAGGCACCCCAAATCGACACAAAATTTGCTTGGAAACGAACTTCGTCATCTGTTCTGCAGTGATGGT